AAGAAAAGAAGAAAGTGAAAGGAACTCCAGGGTAGATAGAATGCATGCCTGTGTTCCCAACACTCCTTTACCACCTCGTGTAAAGCTTCTCCAACCTCCCTACAGTAGACATCAATACACTTTCTCCTTTATTTGTCTGTTTTCCAACAGTTCAATCAGGAAGCATGTCATTTCCCAGAATCACATGTAGAATGACACGGGTTCAGCAATTACCTGATAATGTTGGACAATGTTTATGATTTCCATACAGAAAGATATGCTAATTTGTAGGCATATCATTAGAATTCGTAGAATAAAAATGTATTAAGATTTTCGTTAAATCTACTGACTAGCTTTTCTGAAAAAAATTCAGCAGTAGGTTTTGAATATAAATGATAAGATATCCATTTTGAAATTAAAGAATTATAAAGAGGTGGAGTGAACAGACAGTAAAAATGCACACATTTGTTCCCTGTGACTGACCAGGCGTGCAACTCTGCAGCAGCCCTCATCTATTGCAAAGATGAGTGCTGTATGGCATTCTTGTCACTCTAAGGGAGGTCTCTTCTATATATGGTACTACATTCCCTGCCAAACATCTCCGAAATATACATATGCATTAGTGTTCAGACACTCTGTGCATTTCTCATACGGTTTCTAGGGCATCACTTTTCCCTCGAGTTTTCTAGTCCCCGATAGATTCACTCATCTCCACTCTTTTTCTCCCACCTGGCTTCCCTCCTCCCTCCCTTCCTAGTCTCAATGCCCCCATTATCCCCACCCTCCTCCCAATACCTCTGGACTCCAACCATCTTTCCTCTCCTGATTTCCCTCCCTCCCCCGTGGTCCCTTGCATGTCCCTCCCTCCTCTCCTCCCTGCCTGTTTCTCCCACTTTTTCCACCTCCCTCAGGAGGTGGAAAACATCTGTTCCATATTATCTCCATTTCAGATTGTTTCTTTTCCTTTACCTCCATTTTGAACTATCTCAGCTTAACTAACCTAGCATGTTACTCCATTTTGCCCAAAGCAGCCATTTCAGGAAAAGTGCCTTTTTTTTCTGTTTATGAAAAATACCTAGAAGGGAGAAGCAACCTTGAATTCTGAGAAATGGCATGACCACATACCACAGGGTGTTGTAATCTAGGCCTGCGGTTGACTAACCGCTTATCTTGCTTCTGTAAACCTGCAGTTGAGTAACCACTTATCTCAGTTCTGTAAACCTGCTTCTCTTAACCAAAGCCAAGTCCACACAATAACCAATGGTGACTGGTAAATTTGAAGTCTGCTGCATTGTATAAACCTGATCAGCTCACTTGTTGTTTTGCTTTCTGTAATCCTATAAATATTTTGGCCTACTGGTGTTTGGGGTTGCTTCTATTCCCGATATAGACAGCCAGGTCGGCTGTAATAAAACTTTACCTTGGTGCTTTCAGTTAAGTGGTATTGGTGATTTTTATTCAGAATCCGACCTATAACATATTTATCCTTTCCCTTTCCTGGCTTCTGAGGTTACATCAGAATTAGAGATGCCAGTACTAGGTCACACATCTGCAGTCGAATCTCTACAACTAAGGTGCCTAGAATATAGCAGAGTAAGGGGTAGAGGGAGGGCTAATGCACCCCTTAACTCTCACCAGTGAGGTTTTCATGTACATCAGAGTACGTTACACACAGAAGTCCACAACTGGCCAAGTTTTGGAGAATACGAGACTGTAAAGCGTACAATGGAACTCCTATATGGAATCTCATCCACCCATGGCTCAAGGACAGTTGAGGAAGAGGAGGCAGAAAGATTGTAAGAGCCAAGGCTGGTTCATGAACACAAGGAAGTAGAGGCTTCCAGGTCACTGGAGGCTTACTCATGTAAGCCTGTGGCAGCAGTGGCATCTAATGTGGGACCCATGTCAGCTCAATTAAACAAGGGCCCAACAGGAAGTTGAAAAATAGGTGACAGGCCAGAACTAGATTGAGAACTATTTGAGACTGATTGCTGCAGAGTGAGGGAGAGTATGACTTACATGCAGCCACTGGATGGGCTGACTAGATGCCAGTGGACACATTCACACCAAAGGACATTTGGGTACAAACACCTGAATGAATAGCACTCAGCATGTATGGCAGAGTGCATAGAGTTCGGTGGGGGGATAGGAGGAGGTATAGATGGGGGAGACGGTCTGGATTTGAGTGGGGAATGTTGTATAAAATTTAAAAGCTCAATAAAAAATATATATATAATCATACACATAATCATAACCACTCTAAATAGTTTATATTTCTCTTTTTGAGATAGGGTCTAGGGCCCCTGCTGATGTAGAACTTGCTATGGAGAGCAGGCTGGCCTCAACCTCACAAATATCTACCTGCATCTGCCTCACAAGTGCTGGCATTAAAGACATGTATCATCACACCTGGAGAAATAGCTTAAATTCTAATTCTTAAAATACCATTGCCTTAACTTCCAGAAGATTTGCTCACCATATTCAAATGTATAATAAAATATAATATTTTTAATTTTTCTAGATTATTTCATTTTAAAGCTGCATATTTTGGAGGTAAATACTTTCATTTTAAACTTACATGGTCATTTTCCTCCTAACAATTTAAAACCAAATGACTGAAATGACTCAACTATTTCCAAATAGTTAAAGGCAAAAGAATCCCCTCATGGTATTTTTTTTTTTTCTTTTTTATGTGTATGACTATACTGCCTGCATGTGTGTAAGTGTACCTGTGTCATACAATGCCCACAGAGTACAGAAAAGTGTGTCAGTCTCCCTGGAACTGGAGTTATGGATGGTTGCTACCCACCATATGGGTGCTGGGGACTAGAACCCAGGTCCTCTGCAAGAGCAGCCAATGCTTTTAACTATTCAGTCATCTCTCCAGATGCCTCATGTCATTTCTTCAAAAATTAAAGATAAAGGATGTCTTTAAGTTCTAGAAGTTATGTTTTTGATTAAAACAAAGAAACGTTTTTTAGTTTTTTGCCTTTGGAATGGCAGTGCATTAACTGATAACTGCTTTTACTTTTCTTTATGCAAGCTCTCAGTTTACTAAATATTTTAAGGGGAAAAGAAAAAATTTCTCCTTGTTTTATTATAATATTACAAAGAAGTTTTGAAGCCTCATTGGAGCAATTAATGAAAAACATAAAACCATAATAGGAAAAGGTCCTAGAGATGTAAGGAGGTGTTTATGTTTATAAGTTTCCTTTTTGGTTTAATACTCATTAAAAACATGTGGTAATGATCTATGAAAAATAATTATTACCCAAGTGTTGAACTGTTTTCTAAATATAATAATGATTTATCTATAGAAAATTGATTTTTTGTTAATACATCAAGCATTCATAACTCTTTTAAATGTTCCATAAACCTAGATAGAGTACATAAACACTAACTTATTTGACTATTGAGCAAAGTGACAATGATAATTAAACAGACTTAATATATGTGGTGAAAAGCACACATCAGTTTACAAAAAACAGTAAAAAGAAAGCCTGACTATCTGCCACAATTTTCATATTGATTACCTCCATAAAGAACAGCACTTTCATTGTAGTAGACTTAACAAAGAAAACATAAACTTTATTTAACTTGTCTTTATGTGTTGTGGGTGATTGTGCACATTGCATTAGATTTCCGCTTACAGCACTGGTTTTAACAAACCATTTGTAAAACAATGGACTCTTACAGTTTATGCATGTTAGTTATATCATCATGTGCGGGATAGCTTGACACACCTGGTAATAAGGAATCTCAATTGAAGATTTCCTCCATTGGATAAGTCTGCAGGGAAGCCTGAAAGGCATATTCTAGACTACTGAGTGATTTGGGAGGTCGCAGACTACTGTGCATGGTGCCAATCTCGGCAGGTGGTCCAAGAAAGCAGGTTAAATCCAATCCAGGGAGGCAAACCAGTGCAAAAGCATCCCTGTGTGGTCTGCACTTCAGCTCTTGCCTCCAGGTTCCTGCTTGAGCTCCTCCCTCAATGGTGAACTGTGATCAGGATGGAAAAGTCAAATAAACCCTTTCCCCCTCAAATTGCGTTTGGTCATCGTCTTTATCACAGTAATAGAAAGCAATCATCCAGGACTTGGAAATGACAAATGTGAACACTTGGTTTGCCTTCAGCCTTACAGAATGACAGACTTGGGGTAGATTTTTGTGTCATGTAAGTCACTCATAAAACCCAAGATATAAAAAACATATGAAAATGAAGAGAAAGTATATTGGTGACTTTGATGAGTAGATGTCAGATGAATGCCTTACAGCATATTGTTTGTTCTGTATATGATACTACTTGGTTTTGAGAAGTCCCTAGACTCTAGTATCCTAATGAGTCTTGCAAGGTCATTGGAGTTACTAGGATGAAAGTGTAATTTTACCATATAAAACTAAAATGAAAAAATGTTCATAGAGTTATTTGAAATAATTCCTCTGATATAGTATCTTTACTGACAATGAAACTAATTATTAAACCCCAGGGGATTTAATAATTTATTCAACACTACTTAGAAATATACAAACTGATCTGTAAATGGTTACTCATACCGTCATAAATCCATCCAGCAAACCTGAATCGGGTTTTGGAGGTGCCTGTAACCGTTCCATTGACCACTTTTCAATGATGGAGGAGACTTGGGAATTCTCTGTATTTAATATTCTGAACCCCGTCATATTTACTCCACTGTATCTGTAGGGTTCCACATCAAGGGCGAATAGGTCCTGAAAGAGAATTTTCTCTGTGTTACTAAAAGTAGTATTGAAATGCTCATTTCTTATTTCCCTTAAGGAATTTATGCCATTGTATCTCAAGGGAAATCAGATATCACTAATCAATAAGGTTCAGATAAATTGACTTTGTGCTTAGACAATTGAGTATGTACACTTTGCACATACACATGCATGTTTGTATTTCATTCTAATTCAAGCAACAGACCAAAAAGCTCTTCTGTAAGTCACATTTAGGAATTACATAGTGTTCTTTATATAAAGATAACTAAGCCTTCTATTTTATGCAGTGATACTTTAAATTAACAGAAGTGTTTTCCTTTACCTGCTTGTTTGACCAGGTATTGTCGCTTTTTTAGTTTTATTTTGTTGAGTTTCTGTCGTTATCTCTTTTGTCCTTTCTGTCCTTTTCTCTCTTTTGGCTTTTAAGAAGGAGATCATGAAATAAGGCTTCTAACTAATAGCAACTATGAATGATGAGGAAAAACATTAAGACTACTGGTCTTGTTGACTAGAAACGGTGTTTCCTTTGTCTTATAGTCCATTGGCAGAGTCACAAGAAAGAGCACTTCATTTATGTTGCCCTGCTCAGTCTTCTTATCAATAATGTTTTCGTTTTGCTAGTCAGTTTTCCCAGGAGCCATGAGGCCAAATCTATGGAGGGAGTTGGATGTTGCCATAAGGTGACATGTAGGACTTGTCCCCAACATGTGGAGCATGGGGACTTTCTAGATGGCACTAGCTCATCTTCAGATCTTATGGACAATACAGAGAACTGAGGTATGATGAATGCCACATATCCTGTGTGCAGCTTACCTCTGACTTACAAAACCAAAAAGGAAAGCAACTGGCATTTGCCTGAGTTGTAATTTGTACTGCAGAAGAATCATTAGGTTTTTATCATTTAGTTTCTATGATCTAGTAAAAAAATGAGATATATTTAAGGTGTGAATAATTAATGCATATCAATACATGGCAAGAGGCAAAATAATCAAAAATGATAAGTGAACCTGAAGTTAGAAGCAGAACAGACAGTGCTGAGATTTTTATGGTGAGTGAAATCTTCCCACAGCAAAGAGCATATAAGTTATAATGAGGTTCAAACAATTTTACTCAAATATTCTAGGCTGAAGGAAACTGAGGCTGTCACCCTCTCAACTTCTTCCAACTTCCCCTACTGATATGGGCTGTAAAGGAGTTCTTAGGCCTAGATCCTTTAAAACTAAAACCTGCCTTCCTCTCCAGCACAGAGACATACTTCCACCACCCCAGCAGCATTGTCCACTGAACACTAAAGAGTGATGAATGCAGAAACTCATGGCTATTCAGGGTACCTAGAATAAGTGACGGCTGAGTGCTCAACCCTAATCAGAATATCCATGCCACCTCTAAGACTCTGGAAGCATCAAGGATGAGAGAATAGAATGAATATAAGAGCTGGAAGATAGGGAGAAGGGCTTGAAATATTATCTTCAGGGCATGACACAGCCATTACAAACATTATCTCAGGCAGCTGAGGTTGCACAAGGGTCTAGACTGTCAATAAGCAATCATGGATCAAGGAAAATGGGGCCCTACCCTTCCCTGCTTAACTATTACCTGCTGATGGATTCTAGGAGAGAACACTCATTAGTTTCAGTTGGGTACCAAACAGTGTGCATACCAGACTACAGAAGATAGTTAGGTGCACAGATGGTCCTTATTAAACATCACCAGTCACAAACAAAGACAGAAGAACATGAATGTGGGAAAAGGACCTTTGGGAAAGGGGGTGGGGGATGACAGTGGGGCAGGGAGAAGAGAACATGATAAACAGAACGCACAATATGTGAGTATGTGTTATTTTGATATATCACAGTGAAAGATTTATCGTCCTCTTTTTTTTTTTTTTTTTTTTTAAAAAAAAAAAAAAAAAAAAAAAAAAAAAAAAAAAAAAAGGAAAAAAACTCTCTTTCCAGAGAAATCTAGTCCAGTAACTGAAAAGTCTTCTATTCTATGAGAATCAGAGCAAAGAAATCTTACTAAACTTTAGCCAGGTTACTCTTATTACTGGATAATATCACCCTTTATTCAATCATATTTCTACAGAACCCAATACTCTTTTAGAAAATCAAAACATAAAACCAGAGAGCTTCTTGTGTCTTTGGGTCTCATTTCTGAAGACTCATGCAATAACTCTATATGCTTTTGTCTCAGTAACTTCTTTTGCTTGGGGGAGAGGTCTCAGCTATGTACTTTGTATGATAAAGGATTATTTTCTCCCCCATATCTGTCAATAAAGAATGACCAGGTTATTTGTAAAACAAAGGACATTCATAATGTAAGTAGTAATACAAAAATGAGAAAATATAATCCTTATCCTAGAGATTGTCTTACATCAATTTGATTGTAAAAAGAGATTCTGTAAAGGAGAATGAGAGCTGAAGAAAATTGGAAAGTTGGATTAGAATCAAAGTACTACAAATCTTCAGTAGTAGGCTAATGAATTATATTTGTCCTAAGACAGATGTTCTATTATTTTCTTCAGTATGAGACTTGATGTTCTGGAAATCATAGTCAATCAAGTTACAAGAGCATTTGATAGAAGTGATGAAGGAAACAACTAGCACCTCTTCTCCAGCCTGCCACTAAGTTTCATCAAGGAAGAAGAGGTGTAGCAATGCGGCAGAGCCCATTTTGGTGTTTGTCCATAACACACAGCCTACTACCCTCAGATATAGCAAGCTCTGTCATCTCAGGAAGCTGTTGAGATCAACTGGAATTTAGTAAGAATCCCCAGAGTACGGAAAGTAATTGGAGTATTTTTTAGTGAATAGAGAGAACTGTGATTAGATGGTCACCATGGGCATAGAAAAGATGGATGCTATAGAAAGAAACTGTGGAGAAGAAATAGAATTTTATGGAATGTGCAGGAATCTGAAATGAGACATTTAAAATGTAATTAAAGAAGAGTTGATGTATAGAATAATAAATTGAGATTTAACGTTTGGAATTTTATGAATTCTACAATATTTAGAAATGTCTTATAATATATAGTAACTAAGACTATTATACATAGTAATTTAGACATTATTTAAAGGAAGGAGATGACTGGACCTTTAAACATACCCTTTTCCCAGGGAACAATCTAAAGAAAATTATTGAAAAGACAAACAGAAAATAACATAAAGGCCTAAATTGAAAATGGACAGGAAGGATTACAGAAAGTAACGGGGATGTGTTTCACAGAGGGAAAAAGATCTGGATGATGTACTAATAGAGAAACGACTTAAATTCAGCTTCTGGTGCTCATCTATATCTGGCACTCATAAGATAACAGGCAGGATTGTAAATTCAAAGCCAGCCTGAGCTACACCTTAAAAAAAAAAAAAAGGGAAGGCAGGAAGAGAAAGGAAGGAGGGAAGGAAGGAGGGAAAGGAAGGAGGAAGGAAGGAAGCAGGAAGGAAGGAAGCAGGAAGGAAGGAAGGAAGGAAGGAAGGAAGGAAGGAGGAAGGAGGGAAGGAGGAAGGAAGGAAGGAGGAAGGAAGGAAGCAGGGAGGGAAGGAAGGAAGGAAGGAAGGAGGGAGGGAGGGAAGGAAGGAGGAAGGAAGGAAGGAAGGAAGGGGGAAGGAAGGAAGGAAGGAGGGAGGGAGGGAGGGAGGGAAGGAAGGAAGGAGGAAGGAAAGAAGGAAGGAAGGAAGGAAGGAAAGAAGGAAGGAAGGAAGAAGGGAGGGAGGGAGGCAGGGAGGGAAGGAAGGAAGGAAGGAGGGAGGGAGGAAGGGAATGAAGGAGGAAGGAAGGAAGGAAGGAAGGAAGGAGGGAGGGAGGGAGGGAAGGAAGGATGAAGGATGAAGGAAGGGAGGTTGGAAGGAAGGAAGCAAAGATGGAAGGAGGGAGGGAGGGAAGGAAGGAAAGAGGGAGGGCAGGAAGGAAAATAGTGGGATATTTAAAATGGGCAATGAAAAGGGACAGAAGGGTAATGGAGAGAAGAAAAATAGTGGGACATTAAGGGTGGGAAAGGAAAAATGAAAAGGAGGGAGGGAGGGAGGTAGGGAAAGAAGGAAGGAGGAAGGAAGGAAGGTTGGAAGGAAGGAAGGAAGGAAAGAAGAAGGAAAATACAAAAACACAGAAGAGAAGGTAGTTTGGGTAAACACCTTCTATAAAAAGGGAAAGTCAGATACTCATGGCTCATGGGCACATGAAGATAAGATCAGGTCATGCGCAGATGAAGGCAACATATACAGGTAACATACAATTTGCTAATTGCAAATTAAGGTATATAAACTTAAAAATTCAAAGGGTCTAAATACTGTTAAGCTAAATTGTATGAAAATCACAAAAAATCAACAAAAATTAAAAAAAATTCTAACTAAACATGGAAAATTTAATCTATTGAAAGGAGGCTGGTTTAAATAAGTTTCATTTTCCAAATAAAATTAAGGAAGCTGAGATAATAGTAAAACTACATGTGTTTGTCTGAAACAGTTTTTTTTAACAAGCAAGCTAACTTTAAAATCCATTATGCTCTAAAAGTCTCTGAAGTAACATAAAAAAGACATAATATTTTCAATTAATATTTGAAATGGTAGTATTTCAAAATCATCAGCTACCTCTGAAGAGTTATTAGTTCTGTCTCATAATCCCTCCTGGGATTTACCAAAATAATATAATGCATAAAACACACATGTGCTACTCATTGTATTGCTTCTCATTCAAAACCACAATTTTCATCTTTTTCAGGAGTCATTATAATAAAAACCTACAATATTATCTTCTTGTTTTAATAAATTACTTACCAAAGTAGTAAATATATAATGATAGTATTCTGTCATCATTCCCATAGCTAATGCCTAAGAAATAATGAAAACAAATATAAATATTAATATTCAAGGTATACATATTATAGTATGAAATCCATTATTTCAGCAAGAAAGGTGATAGTGTACAATTTTATAAAAAATAACCCCATTTATTCATGCTATGTCAAAATTGGGTTGCATTAGAACTTTTCTTAGTATTAGTTAAAAAGATTAGTGGGTATTGGAAAAATTTCTAGAATAATTCTTCTGATAGTAAAGTTATTCTGAGAATGTTTGCAACTGTAAGGCATATAGCTATGCAGCCTGTGGGCAATAGGTTTGACAAAAAGCCTTAAATCAGGACATCTTAGTGCCTTATGTTTGTAAATTCTTCACTACAAATGCTCAAGTGAAGAGCACCCTTTTATTTTGATAATTGTGTTGCTCAATTAGAAAAACGTATTGCAGAAAACTATACAAAATAGCATTTTTATTAGTACCTTAGAAATTTCTTTAACATTAATGAAATTTAACCATCATATTCAGAAAATATGGAATATTTTTGTTGAAGAGGAAAATGACTGTTTCTGTGTTTTACAACCCTTAGCAAGTTTTGATTATCAATGATCTCAAAGCTAGTTCTTTTTATATTTGAACTTGCAGTGATAAGAAGTATCCATGTCATTTTCCTTTTAAGGATGGAAACAACCACTTAATAAATGACAGTGAGAATTGAAAATCAATGGATTTTTTAAAGCTGAATGTAAAACTCTTAGTGGGAAATGAGTATTTTCACGTAATAATCCTACATACTACTATGTAAAATCAATTACTAATTAGCTGTCTCAGCCATGCTATGTGTTCAATGTATAGGAAAGCTTCATGGTCATAGGTTGGAATTCATGAATTAAGTAGAATAAAATTAATAATTTTATAATATGCATAATTCAGTGAAGAAAGAATAGTTATTTGTTAAAAGAAATGAAAACATGAAATGTATAAAACTGAGCCAAAGCATTTGTTGAAGTATAGCAACCTCAAATATTGAACACAGAATGAGAATTTAGGAAACAAATCACCAATTAATATTGTTTGAATTGATAATTCTATAAACCTATAACACTCGGATCAAATTAGCATCTTAAGCACAATAAAAACATTTTTCCTAATTAAATATTTCTATTATCTACTATTGTATGTAGCAAATGTTCATTGCTCCTGATAAGTGCAAAAGGCATCTCATCTCCACAATCAATCAAAGGCACCTCAATGCCAGCCTGGTTTCTTACTTCCTTCGTTCTTGCTCAATAGGTACAGAAATAGATAAACTATGATTTCATAGGACAAATGTAAATACTGATTATATTATGTCTCAAGACTTAAATGTATCAAGAATTATATTAAGTATATTGCATATTCAAACTACATAAGAACCCTATAAAATAGGTTGAATTATTATGTTATACTCATTTTATAGGTAAGGAAACTAGGATATAACAAAGATGAATAAATTGCCCAAAGAGGAGAGATACTGAGAAAACACGAATCCAGCTCTAACTCCTGGAGTCTCCATCAGAGAAAATGGCAAACTGGAGATACTAAAATGTGGAAAGGAAGTTATTTGAGTCAAATGATATCCACTTAACACATGTGCAATTACTTAAACTAAATGTGCAGAGATTTTAAAATGCAGAAGGCTTATTTAAAGGTTGAAACTTGAAAGGGGAGGCAAGTAGTAAATAACATCACTTGCCAAGAATTATAATTGGTGCTGGCACTAGATGTCTTTATGAGAAGGTTGAGTGTGGTTTCAGTGCCTGGGTCATATGCAGGATGGCAGAGATAAATTCAATGTTTTGGAAAACTGCAAATTGTTTCCATACAAAGTCCAGCTTGAATCTACAGATGAATTTAAAGTTTCAGGAACATATTCTGAGGTCTGATGAACAGTGCCTCCCAACTCCACTCTAAGTGCCACAAACTAATGGCACTCCATTAAGAACTTCTTGCTGCGTATTCACTGTCTATGACATTTTATAAAAGTGCATTTATTATTTATTATTTTTATTTTATGTGTATGAGTGTATTGCCTGCATGTATGTGAGTGCACCCGTGTCGTGCAATGCCACAGAGGTCAGAAGAGGGCTTTGGAATCCCTGGGAACTGGAGTTAAGGATGGTTCGTAGCCGCCATGTGGGTGCTGGGAATCAAACCTGGGTCCTCTGCAAGAGCAGTCAGTGCTCTTAACTGCGAGGCCAATTCTTCAACCCCAAAAGTGCATGTTTTAAAATCTCAAAGAGATTGACCCTTTTAAAATAATCTATGAAATGAAGATATTCTCTTTTCCTTGATAATTTAAAATTCCTAGCATATCAGGCTAATGTGTAGATGTAGACTTGTGATTGGACAGCAGGGATAGGAGTTGAGCACATGACAGGGAGACAGATTTGCTTCTGCATGGACATTCTGGAAAGGTCACAGCTTTCTTTTTCATCAACTTGAAGAGAAATTTATAATGACCACTGGTATGTGTTCATGGATTTCTCTGACTTTTCTCCAGATACTGATTTTGAAAACAATCATCAGTTATGGACTATAATATATGATCAAAAAAACTAAAACTAGAAAGGAATTTTTAAATTTTGTGTTTATTGAATTTTTGTGTATTTCATACAGAACATCTCAAGCAATCTTGATCATCTTTATACCTTAGTGCCCAGTGACACCCTCCCAGAGTTCCCTAACTGTAACCCATATACTCTGTCATCCCTGTTAACGCACCCTGTGTTGTCAGTAATGCCAGCTGTTCCCCAGTGCACATCTACCCACTGAGGTCTAGTCAGCCTATCTAGAGTCTCTTGTAGAAAGATCAACCTTTTATGGGTGAAGTTTAATAAAGGGATCCTGTCCAAGGACCATTATGCAGCAGACTCTTGATCTCTACACTTTGGACATTTGTGACCTTTTGTGTTCCTGGCCATCCACCGCATGAAGGAGCTACGTTATTGAAAAGTGACAGAGTCATTAGTGTCGTCTTCATTACCCATCTTCTATGTTCCATGAGCCTTAGGTGTAGAGGTTGCACTGTAGATGTGTCACTTAGGCCTGGACAATTCATAGAAAATGTCCTTGCGTGACCAGTTGTGGTAGTTGGTAATAGTCTCTGTAGAAGGGAATTTTTAAGTACCTATCTTGTGGCCTTCCCAAACCAAGCAATAGGAATACTATCTCTACAGATTAATTTAAAAACAAACAAGACCCACTTGCTCTGTACCTTCTTTATCTGTGCCTTCATTTTGTTTTATTTTATTTTATTTTATTTTACTTTTTAAATTTTTTTATCCATATGAGTATATTGCCCACATGTATATCAGCATGCCTGTGTTGTGCAATGCCTGAGAAGGTCAGAAGAAGGAGTCAGTTCCCCTGGTCATTAGCCACCATGTGGGAGCTGGGACTCAGACCTGGGTCCTCTGCAAGAGCAACCAGTACTCCTAATTGCTGAGCCATCTCTCCAGCATTTCTGTACATTTTTTGTTTATAAGTCAATATATTGTCATACTACTAACTAATGTATTGGATGTGCATCTCAAATCATATTAAAAGGGAAAAGATTGATATTTTATTCACAAATGTATGTGGCCTCAATATAAAATCTGTTATAATCTATGTGATGTTTTCAGAAAGGCCACAGATGAACTTTCAAAAAATAAAAATATCCAAAATCTCCTGTGTAGTGATAATAATACTACATTATTATATGACAAACTATTATTTGGTCATCTAGGCACATAATTGGAAATAATTTATCTATCCAGTTAGATCCAGGAAAAATACTGTTCAAAGTTAAGAGAAAAGCAGGGCATGCATGTTTGTATGTGTCTCTGTGTGTGTCTGATCTGTGTGCCTGTGTCTGTGTGTGTTTAATATTTAATTTTATTTTGAATCTTGCTGTTGTAGTTTATTTGCATTAGCTTTTACATTTTTCCCCAGGGCGAAAGGTTTTCTTGGTTTTGTTTTTATTGAATTTTTGTGTATTTCATACAGAACACCTCTATCAATATTAATTATCTTTATACCCCAGTCTCCAATGGCACCCTCCCATAGCCCCTCCCCCAACACTGGAATTCATATATTCTGTCATTTATGTTAAGGCCTGTTGTGTCAAATTAGTGTCCCCAGACATTCCTCGATACAAGTTCATCAACTGAGATTTTATTCCACACTCTCTGAGTTGGGATTTGAACTCCTTGATCACTTTGTTTCTTGTGTGATAGAAGGTGAGATTTTACTTCAGACCATCTTGGCTCTTCCAAGATGGTTCTCTATGATAAATCTGGATAGAGGTGGGAATATCTGCTCTTAAGTCATATCCATCAATTATTGTACTTAACTTGCCTCATAGAAAATCTAGTCAACCTCAAGTTCCACTCACTTTCAAAACTTTCTGGGAAAAAAAAATTCAAATTTACTGTTGCTCAATGTTCAGCAAAATTTCAGCTAATTTAAATAAATGTTAAATAAACTCAGTAAATCAATTAGATTAACTTAATACCATCCCTTTTTCTGGATTCTCCTAACATTCATTTTTTACAAGGCATACCAACTGAAATCTCATCTATTTCTGCTATTTAGCTGATGCTGTGCCTTTGGTATTCCAAAATCAGCCATTGTTGAAGAAGCTCAGAGAAGAAATCATACATTACAAGACACATACCAATTAAATTTTTGTGGTGTTTACTAAAAGAATCTATTTACTTTTTTCTTGAACTTGCTTCTGGAATAAATTACTCTCAAGTGTGAGACAAATTCACTTTTAATATCAGATAATTGAGAAAAAAGTCAACTCTTGTGTTTGTTCTCCCAAAATTAATGGACATTTAAGCATACATTCTGTATAGTAACGCCAGTCACTGCACTTCAATTTTCATATTCTCATTTTAACTTTATTCTCAATTTTCATCTTCTAAACATGTTAAAATTATATACTTTTCTGTTAAATATGTTTAAATATTATTTTGATATGTCTTCATTTCCCACACAGACCATGTTATACATACGGAAACAAATAAAAAATAATGGAAATACCTAATAGAAAATAAATGCAAATTCTGTTATTAGAGGTGATGAGTATTCTCATTTTCCAAACAACAAGGGTAAATCAGGATTAGATCTTTAAAGAAAAGTGTTGATCCATTACATTCTTCTTAGAAGCACTGGGAGAGTGGGTGGAAGCTCTGTTTTACCACTCTGGGAGTAAAGCAAAGGCTGCTTTTCCAAATCTACGCACTTTAAATGTGATCAAGCATAGTTTGTGAATAAAAACAGATCTTTACTTCATATTTCGTCATTACATTCTACTGAAACAAACTGAAAATTACAAGCAAGCAAAATCTCTCATATGCTTTGTTATCTAAAATATAAAGCTAGAACGATATTCCAAACCAATTAACTATTTTACTATAGTAAAATAGACATTTATATAGGAATATTGGACATACATGTGCTTAATAAAATAACCATGTTATAATGGACACTTTGTTGCTAGTTATATTTAATGGATATAATTTGGCATTTGAATCTTCATAACTCTCCAGCACAGATAATTTATCCTACATGTAAGAGGTTTAAAAATAGTTTACTAATCAATCCAAATCTACCATGTTATTAACCCAGTGTACATTTTTATAAATATTAAAAGACAAAAATCCAATGATTTGAAGTCAAATCCAGATTCTACTACCTGATAAGTATATGGCCTTCTACCATTTAGTCTTCAGTATTGATCTCTCATTTGTTCCTACTCTCCAACTTTCTGTTGAAAGAAATGTTTCTGCTGAAATATTATTCTATTGTCACAAACTGTTAGCTTTAGAAGTGACTGAGTCACTCAGTCATTCTGAGATTAGCCTGAGATAGCTCGTTTTCTTTTGGTTGCGGAGATAATTAAAGAAGGTCAAATATGTAAGGCATTAAATAATAGATGAAGAGTGAATATCTTTTATCTTTTTCTTACTGGTTGATTGTAATGGATGCTATTCAATCATGGACTTTTACTTCTTTCTTTGTTCCAAGACAGAACAGAAATATCTATCAAATTAATCAATAGATATTTGATAATAGCCTCAAAACTTCAATGTTTCAAAGAACGATATAACTGAAAACAATCTTAAGACTTTCTAATGACTATTCAAATAATAAAGTATCAGTTTTTAAAAAATATAGTTTAAAGGAACATTTATAAGGAAACTAATTACTTAAACAATTTAAAGTTTACCTGCTTTAAAATGCCTGCTGCCATTTCATGGCTGCAGTCAAAGATTACATGGAATTCTTTGCCTCTTTTCATTTCCTTCAGTAAAGGTTTTGCATCCTTTGTATCAGCCGGTAGCTGACGTATCTTAAGTCGAAGATTGTACCGTGATGGAGCTTTGATAAGCTCTTGCAAGCGAATAAGACCTTTAATTAAAAAGAAAAAAAAACATTAGAAGCAAATCAGAGTACATAGAAACACAATGTAGGTGTGTTGGTGTCTTTCATGACACAATCATTGCAATTCTTTCTTTTCTCCTCTTTTCAAACAGTGTTTCACTATGAACTCCAAGTTGGCTTGAAACTTACTATGTGACACAGGCTGACTGAGAACTCCCAGTGATCATCCTGCCTCAACCTCCCAAGTACAGGCATTTCAGCTATATACCCACCACCAAGTCTGACTGTAATTCTTATTTCAATAAAGCTCCAATTTTTCCGTTACTTTTGTTAATTAGATATCAACTTTTAAAAGGCATTTTTCAAATTATGAAATAGATAATGGGGTATTTAAATGGGAGTGTGGAGGGAGGATTATACAAGGAACCTTGGGGGTGAAGGAAAAGAAGACACTTAAGAGAGGTGGGACCATAGGACACTGGTATTAGGAAGGGAGAAATGAGGAAAATCGAGACACTTTAAATGGGGAAACCATGGTAGAAGGGTTAGACAGGGAGAGAGGAGAGATAAATAATGTGAGCTAGTTTAAAAATAAAAACACAGAGGGAATCATATTAGTCCAACAACCTAATGACAAATTACTTAGAGAAAACCCCAAGACTGTCACATCCCTAGACTAATGTGATCTCTTGTTATGTGCAAAATATGTATCCTTATATTTCCTGACAAATATCCCAGTCACCACTCATCAAAGAAGCTTATTTTGCACCAATCAGAGATTATTAACAAGTACTCCAACTGGTCACACACATTGTCTAAGAATTGCCCAGGTCTAAACAACACATCTACAATGCAACCTCTACACCTAAGCTACACCAAATATAGAACAGGGGTAATGAAGATGACACTAATGAATCTCTCAGTTCTCATTAATGAAGATTTTTCATGCAACAGAGGGACAGAAACATAAACAGTTCCAAATGGCCAAAACATAGAGAATAAGAGTCTGCAGATTGCTGGTCCGTGGAGAGGATGCCTATATTAAACTTCACCCACCAAGGGCTCAGGGACCATCAAAGAAGAGGGGATGGAAAGAATGTAAGAGACAGGAAGGAGGTACAGGACCATATGGAAACAGAATCCTACAAACTCCTGGGACCCTGCTCATATGATTCTATGACAATGGTGTTGGCATACAAAAGTGCCATGCAAACTCGGGCAGACAAAAACACAGCACAGAACTGGGGAAATGAACAGCAGGCCCCAATCTTACCTGAGGAAACATTAGCATCTGATTATTCCTGGATGAGGAAGAGATGATCTTCCTATAACAAGAGACTCTAGATAGCTGACTAGACCTCAGGGGATGGACTTGCACAGGGGAACATCTGGGGACACTGACTTGACACACTGGGCCTTAATACAGATGACAGAGTATATGGGTTCCAGTGTGTGTGGGGGGGGGTGCTGGTAGGGACAGGGTTAAAGGTGATTAAGATTCTTTGAGATATTCTGTATAAAATACACAAAAATTCAATAAAAGAAAATTTTTAAAAAAGAAAATATATCCTGCCACTTTACTGAAAGTATTAATCAATACTAACGATTTTCAACTGGAATTTTGGGGATCTGTAATGTATATCATCTGTAAATAGGGATAACTTGACTCTTCTTCTCCAATTCATACTGCTTTAATTTCCTTCTCTTGTCTTATTGCTCTTGCAAGAGTTTCTGAAAAAGAGTGAAGATGGCAGACAACCCTCTCTGGTTCCTGATTTTAATGGGAATGCTTCCAGTTTCAGTAGTCTTACATACCAATAATAAGCAATCAGAAAAAGAACTCAAGGAAAGCTTCTCATTCTCAATAGCCTCAAAAATATTTAGGAATAAACCTAACCAAAGCCATTAAAGATCTCTACAATGAAAATTTCAAAACTCTAAAAGAAAAAGATAGAGGAGGACACTATGAGATGGAAAGACCTACCATGTCCATGGATTGGTAGAATCAATATTATGAAAATGACCATCTTACAAAAATAAATTTAAGGATTCAATGCAATAACAATCAAATTACCCAAAACATTCTTCACAATACTTGACAAAATCATCCTAAAATTCATATGGAATCACAAAAGACCCTGGCTAGCCAAAAAAATCTTGGGTGAAAAAAACAATCCTTGGGGGATCAGCACACCAGATCTCAGATTATACTACAGAGCTATAGTCATAAAAATGGCATGGTACTGGCACAAAAAATAGAAACATAGATCAATGGAACACAATAGAAGATCCAAACATGCAGTTTTGATCACCTGATGTTAGAACACACAATGGAAGAAAGATAGCAACTTCAACAAATGGTGCTGGCAAAACTGGATCTCTACCTGCAGAATGAACATTAACCATTATCTTTCACCCTGAACAAAAGTCAACTGCAAATGGATCAAAGGCCTCAATATAAAACCTGAAAATTGAAAACCGTTAGAAGAAAACATAGGCAGCACCCTCCAATATATAGGCCCAGGAAAGGACTTTCTAAATCAGACCCCAGCTGCTCAGGCACTAAGGCCAAGAATCAGTAAGTGGGACCTCATTAGGAATATTTTGTAATTAATCACACACTCCCCATGTCACCCTAACCACCAGGGGATATGAAGAGTTCATCCACAGGAGAATGGGTTTCAGTGCTGTCAAATCTTCTCTATTTACAACAATAGTTATGTGTTTCTTCTGTGTACACCTGTCACTCTACGTCCCCCAACTGTCATTCCTTTTCAACTTGCCACATGATAAAAATGCCATTTTTCTGAAAAGATATTGCTCAAACTCATCATTTGCAAAAAAAAAAAAAAAAAAAGTGTGCTTCACTAGATTTTTTTTTCTTTTTTAGGAGGAAAATTTCTAGACTAGTTGACATTGCTTACATATAGTCCTGCCCCACATTCAGTTGACAATAATGAAGAAATAAAACAGCACATCTATTAGATGGAATAAAGGGTACAATTTTGTAGAAAATGTGGTTCATACAAATAATTTACAAACAACAGTTTTCAGAAACACTGTTTACTCAACAAATTTGGTACTTAATTATTCAATAACAGAGTACAATTTTAACTCTTTAAAATGGACTTTTAATAAAAATTCCCTCTTTATCCTAATGTAATTAGTTTACAGAGTGATTTTAAAAACAGCACTGCACAGATGGGTTCATTTTAACAATCTTTTAGCAAAAAGAGCACGACATTGCAATTATTTCCTTATTTTGTAGAGGAGTAACATTCCGTTACCTCTAATCACTTTGCTAAGTGTACATTTTTGGTGTTTGTTAATCCTTTTTTACTTTCACTTATCTTAGTGGTGGCTGAAATCAAGGTTTTGTTTATTATAGAGGGACAGAAGTCAATTTATCTTTAAAGAAGAATCCAGAAGACATTTGTGCACACTCCAGCTGGCACCTCTTCTACAGAGATCATTCTCACCACCTCTTCACTGGCCCAGCCTTCCCTTGCCCCAGGAAGGGAGTCCCCATCGGCCTTGCATACCCAAGCACCCACGTCAGTAGCAACAGAAACTAGAGCTTGCTTGGCTACCTGAATGAATCTCCTGGCCCACTTATCATTTTGTTTAATGTGGTCTTTGTGCAAGCTAAGATTCCCACCAAAATGCATTATACAATAAGCAATGCAAAAAATGATTTCTCTGGATTTAATACTTTCTCAAAACTATTTTCTTTAAACTGAGAAAACATTTATTAAGGAGCCAAAGGGATTTTTTTTATAATATTTTATTTAGGTTCAAAGCAAACTAAACAGTGTATGTATCCATCACATATTTTTTAATGTATGGCAATGTTGTAAAAATAGACAAGGGAGTCAATTACAGCAAGAATTTTTAAAGGAGATTTATGTGTATGTTAGGTTGTCATTGAAAAAAAGTTCCCATATTTGATCATCCATGGTCTCCTTCGGGTGAAGCGTTTGGTACAGAGAACATAGAGCATAGGACCCAAACTGCTATAACTTCTGTATTTCTAAGGCCAAATGTCCAGCTCTTGTCAGACTTCATCCCTGAATTCTACACCTTTAAATGCACTTTATTGTTATCTGTGTAGTAAAAATTAATCTTCCCTAAAAAGATGTCTGACTTTTGCTACTGGCTCTTGGGAGTTAATATCTAAACCCCCAGAATGTCATGACTCGATGAGCATCTCCCTTTAAGTAGATTCCATTGGGGGGAAATCCAATGATCCTTTCTGTGGGGACTTTGGGCCATGTGATAGAAGGTCAACCTCAGGACGGGCTGGAAACCATATGTTAAACCAATGGGTCTCCATCATGTCTATAAACCAAGACCCAATAAATACTGTTTATCATTTAAATAATAGTTCAGGTAACCTTCTGTGGTTGGCAATATGGCATACATATTTTCACTAATGGTTGCCTAGAAAGATAAACACTGTCCATGAACAATGTGGTAAAAGAAAACAGGAAACTTCCAGTGTGGACTTCTAGACTTGGTCCTATGCACCTCTGCTCTGAGATTATTTTAATCTGTATGCTTTAGCTGTCGTAAATTATAACAGTTACTTTAACAGGTTTTAATGATTTCTGTGAACCATGCCAAATTTGAGGGTGATCTTCACAGCAGTTGAAATTACTAGTTATGACAGAAATGAGAGTGACCATGGCAGCTCCTGAGCTTATTTGTATTGATGGTAAATGAAGGGTTGTGGACTGTAGAGCAATGGTGCATATCTGCTGTAACATCTGATAAATGCTATACATAGAAATCCAAATTAGTTCATCCACTCCTTAGAGCTACCCCTCTTTCATTTGCTTTCACCTAGGACAATAAAAAATACAATCATTTTTATTCAAAAGAGAGACAATTTTAACACATTTTCCAGAAATAACTTGAAGCAGATTACATAAAAATATAGCACCACTGTTTAAATCCTCTTACTTCTTGCTGTTTGTGTTTTTATAGTAGATGGAATCCCACTGAATTGGGCCAATAGCCCATGGAAA